AATATTTTGTACTTATCTAATTACTTATCGTTATATATTTACAATAACCAGTACTGCAATGTGATAACGATGGAAAGACACGACATTATGCTATAATTAATTTTCAAATGATAACTGTATACTTGAATTAAATTAACATTTTTTTTTATTTTTTTTTGTTGACGTAGTGGAAACTCTTTTTACGAGCCGTCCAACCGACCTTGGTGGGGCCGGAAGGGATGTGTGAGGCTCGACCTGGGCAGGCCCCTACTCACTAAAACCACTGCGAAAGCCATCGGCCGCTATGTCGATGTACCCCGGATCTGTCAGCGACAGGGCACATCAGCGACTGGCCGGTCCTGGCAAAGACCGGACTTACTCCCTCGGAGAATGGGGGCGATCCCGGCAATTAGGACCACCCCGACGACGCCGGGCTTTCAAAAGGGCCGGGTTACCACGCCGACCCCAGCCCGGAACACAGGGGTGCTATTGGAGGCGTAGGAATTGCCTCCGTCGCACCCCCGTACGTCGCCTGCGGGGGGAGGGAGCATCAGCCGCCCTCTCCCTTTCCCGCTGAGATGCCTCCTTCGTGGACATGACCGTCTCACAGAAGGAGGACACCGCCAACCAGGACCCATCACTCTCGAGCATCTTCTCCACGACACTCGAAAGCGACAAGTCCACTCCGCCGAGAGCCGCCACAAGGTCTTGGCGCTGCGCAGCCCATCTCGGGCACACCTCGAGGGTGTGCTGGGCCGAGTCCACCGCAGCGCCGCACTCATGGCAGCCTTCTCCCGGCTCTCTCCTGGCCGTCCGACACAGGTAGTAACCAAAGCACCCGTGCCCGGTTAAGACCTGCGTCAGACGGAAAGTGAGGGGTTTGCGTTTCCGCCTCATCCAACGCTCTAGGACCGGGCGAAGCGCTGCCGTTGTACGTCTACCGTACGGCTGCTCCGCCAGGTCCTCCCCCCACTCCCGCATAAGGCGCTCCTCCCCCTGCCGACGAACCGCTCGGATCTCCTCCGACGAAGGGTTCTCGCCGAGTGTCCTCCTACCCGAGACATAGGAGAACAACTCGGCTCGAACCGACGCCACGAGATCCCAAGGCGGATCGCCGGCAAGGGCAGTCGCAGCGGCCCAGGAGACCGTACGGTACCCCCTAATCACCCTCACCGCAGGAGCCCTTTGCGCAGAGCGCAGCAGGGCTTTGGTCCTGCAGCTCATTGGGCGATCAGCCCAAACGGGAGCACCGTACAGGGCTATACTCCGACAGACCCCAGAGTATAGCCGCCTGCAAGCTGCGCTGGGTCCTCCGAGGTTCGGGAGGAATTTTCCCAGCGCACCTGCCGTCCTCACGACCTTCGGCCCCAGTTCCTTGAAATGAGGCACGAAGGTCCACCCTCCGTCAAGAGTGAGCCCCAGATATTTCATGGTGGGACTCACTCTGACCCTTCCTCCTCCTATGAGGAGGGTGGCACCCGGCGGGGGTCCTTTCCGCCCAGTCCCGCGGAAGAGGAGGGCTTCGGTCTTGTCTATTCTCACCCGAAGCCCCAACCTCTCTATGCGGCTGATCACGAGGTCTGTTCCGACCTCGGCCAGCCGCGCCGCCTCCCTGTAGGTTCGTCCCCGGGATAAGACGAGGGTGTCATCGGCGTAGCAGATGACACCGAATTAAATTAACATGACTTAATTTATTTTAATTGTTAAATTATGCATTAAAAACATTAAGAAACTTATTTCCACAATTCTTTAAAGGTTAGGTTAGCAAACATAGATAAGATGTTATGAAATATCGGGAAAAAGAAGACAATGTCCATCAAATTGGCTGGTATTGGATGATATCGAGTTTATGATCATCTATTGAAGTTCCGCTGTGATGCAAGCTACGTTAGTTACAGAGAGAAGGTCGAAAAAAGTCAACTTTTCTCTAAACTACATTGTATTAATAGAAATTAAACTTCATGCTTTGTTTTTTTTTATTTTTGTCTTAAATTAATAGTTTACTACTTTATAACGTAGAATAAAATATAAATAGGCCTCAAAATACTATAGATATTAAAAACAAAATCTCTCGCTTTACGTGACGTCACACGACACGGCCAGTTTTTACTATGAATTTTTCAGTTACTTCTTACATATTTAGAGTTGTAATAGCTATAAAACAATGGAATAATCCAAAAAAATATCTTATAAGTATTGTATAGTACCGGAGAGCACTACTCGAAAAATACCCGACAAAGTGTTTTTTCGTATATCAAGCGATACGAAAAGACAAAAACTGTGGTATAAGGTCATGAGGATTGACAATATATCACCTAAATCGTGTTTATATTGTTGTGATCAATTAAACGTAAGTTTACTTTATTTATATACAGCTGAGTATGAGTTAGTGAAAAGTAAGTTGTATATTAGCTACTGAACATAAGAAACGCAAAATATAGGAACTTTACCAGTAAAACTGCATGTTTAAAAAAGAAAATTATTTACTGAAAACACAACAAATACTATTTATATAGGTACCATATTAATCTTCTATTACTTCTGGTAGTTATGAACCAAGTTAGCAATCTGAGTCGAGCGAAGTGCAAAATTATTCAGAGGATAAGAAACAGTTAAAATTGTAATGTGTGATAGCATGCTAACTGCCATTGAAAAAAGGGAAAAATATTGTTAGGATTACCTAAACAATCTTATCATTAAATAAAACTTTTAAGTGAGAATATTCTATTTATTAGTAAACACATATTAAAGACCCTCAAGAAAGTTAAATTAAATGAGTCTAAACTACAATCAGCCCAAATATACAGGTCTAAATTATTATTTATTTTTTTAAAAATAAACATTTTCATTATAATATGACGATAATAAGTTTTCATTACAATACGATACTATTCCAGAAAAAAATATTTTAGGCGATTAAAATTTTTAGCCGTATTCTATTCTATTGTACGTTATTATTCATTTCGATAGAATTCCACACTATTTAACATAATGGATTACAGTGAGAAATCATTATAAATAAAAATGTGATTCCTACGAACGAATGTTTATAATAAATATAAATGATTTTTAAGGAAATATATATCAGCTATGATCCTAGATTAAGTGTGTATGTTACTTGAGCGTTATGCGTTAAATACTGTCCTGGGAGGACACTAGAAACCTCAAAACTTCGGGAGTGAGTGTCCACAAGATGGAATTAAAGAAGTTTAAAATTAATCACATTTAATTCATGGTAAAAAAAATATATGCTCAACTTTCATGCAGTAGGTTATGTGGTCTCAAGATGAAGCGTCGTATACAGCAAAGACATAAGCTATATTGTTTTCTTTTTTTGTAATATTTTTCTGATCTAGACAGTCAATCAGAAGTAATATTTTATTTTTCATTTTATATGTTGTTTTCATAACAAACTGAGATCGTTATTGTTCAGATAAAGACAGAACACAAGGATTATATTGTGTTTCAAGGTGAAATTATTCGAATTTTCACATTAACATTTACATTATTGTCAATTTGGATATAAGTTCGTAAAACTGATGTCTTATATATATTTATAGTAAAAAGACGAATAAATGTTACGGTAACAATAAAGTGTCAAAGAACAAAAATATTTTCCTATTATTATTTAAAATACTTCGTCTGTTTACAAAGAAACTATTAATTTATTATTATTAGATCTACATTTTATATACAGATATAAGCATATTATAAGTGTATGTTATAACTAGTTGGTTTCAATTAGGTATATAATTGTAGAATACTGGGCCCAGTATTCTATAATTATTTGAATCACTGTCTTCAATCAAAATAAACGAGTCTACAGTAACTATTTTCGATGCATCCTTGATTAAACAAAGACTCTTGAGACTATTACGTCTTACAGTTTATCAGTCAGTCACTCATGAGGATATATCTTATCACTAGTAAACATATTATGTAAGTAAAGATTCCAGACATACAACATTATTATGCTATTGTTTGTTGAGCTATTTTAGTGTAAAACACCACAACCACGACGAGTTGGAAGACATATTTCGCATGTTGATCGTCAGCTTTCCATTGAATTATGATTTTATAGTCATGGAGGGCTCAGGACAATCTCAGTTGAAACTAACGTCAAAAGGTAGACATTGTAAATTCTATTTATTGTCAACTGTAAAATAATAAAATTTTCTTTATAAAATATTTTTTTTATGGAGAGACCTTGTTATAACTATGTCTTTCCTAGAACTTGCTCGTCTCCTCGCTTTATTGATTCGAATCCTGTTATCGAAAATCGTCGGATTTTGTAGGGATTAGTCAATCTTATAGTTTCGGATAGCAAGATTACTTTTTAACTGAATTGAGATGTCTCTAAGTCACATAAGAATCAGATACATCCATTGCTCAGATTCTAAACCTTTAAAGTTTAAAAACATTTACCTGATTATTGAACGCATTCTCTATAAATATATTGGAAAATGTAATTCTGTCAGAAGTAGGGAAATTTTAATTATATTTTAATAAATATACCAGATACGTATTAAAATGTACTTCACATTTTTAATAAAAAATTAAATAATAGTAATTAAGAAGCTTCTTAAGTCTTCAATACGATATAAAATATGCTATTATCATATAAATGCTTTTATATGATAAAAGCATATTATCTTTAATATAATATTTATGTTATCAACGCAAATAAGTAATACTATCAATAAAATTAAAAATGTTGGATTTGTAGGCGACGCCTAAAAAGTTAGTCATCTAGCTGAAATATAAAGAAGGGAAAACAGGTAGTATTTAGGATTTCAAACGATTAATTTTGTTTTCTAAAAAGGACAAACGGGTGAAAGAAAAAAAAGGTTAGTGTTTAGTGTAACATATAAGGATTTTTTTTTCAAACAGAGAAATTTAAAATAGTTCTAAGCGGTAGAACAGTTAACAGTTTATAAATATCTATGTTACTAAAATGGCATTAGGAAATTTATACTCTATTAATAAACCTCTCACAAGATAAAAAATGCTAGGCACTGTCATTACCATAAGTACCGTTTAACAGAAAGCCCATTATCACTAATATGATTAGATCCTGTTATACCCTTTGCTTTATCACTCGCGAGAAACATTACTAAATCTGCTATCTCTTCTGGTTGAGATACTCTATCCAGTGCAGTCATTTTTTTAAAATCATTCCATGTTAAGGGAGATTTCGTATTTTCCAAAATATCAGTAACAACTGGACCGGGACTTATAGTATTAACTCTTACTCCATACTCTGCTAATTCTGCAGCAGCACATGCACCGAAATGATTTACAGCTGCTTTCGACACAGCATACATTGCAAAGCCAGTACTACCAAGCGCTGGTATTAAGCCTCCAATGCTGGATATGTTGATGACGTTACCTTTTGTCTTAATTAAATGAGAAGAAGCTAGTGATGTTAAATTTACCACAGCTCGTAGGTTGACCCGCATAACGGTGTCATAAGCCTCAACAAGTTTACCTGAAGCGAGCGTTCCCCAAGCTCCAATACCAGCATTGTTAACTAAAATGTCAATTTGTCCAAAATGTTCAATCGTCCGATCTATAATACGTTGTGCATCTTCATCGTTTCCAACGTCAGCTCTCACCACGAGTGGTTTATTACAGCGAGCGGCTACTGAGGCTAGTTTACTCTCATTGCGACCAACCATCACCACACGGGCACCCTCGGAGCTAAAGCCCACAGCTATCGCTGCACCAATTCCTGAACCGGCTCCAGTTACAATGACTACTTTATCTTTGAAATTCATATTGAAGTTAGTCTGTGCCAGGGCGAAGATGAGCACTAAACAGTTGAATCCATCGACATCATTATTTAAACACTTATCATTTAATATTTACAACAAATCCTAAAAGAAAGTGATAAGGATAGATAAGTTAGTATGGAAAGATATTCGCTTTAACTTATTTATATTTTATAATTGTTAATTTTACTCATTATATAATAATCTGTTTCCCCTCTTTAATTTCTCTTATTAGAATTTGCCGCTTAACGGTTTACTATGCCGATAAAAATTACGACCTTAAGTTTAGGCTATGACCGATATTGTGCCAGCATTGTATTAGCAGTATTTCTATGAGCACGTTTCAAATATCTATAAACAAAATTCATAAATATTATGTAAAAAAAACCTCGCGCCACGATAGATTTTTTGACCAAACTCTTTTTAAACCTAAGCGCCTTTCATCAAAAGAGGCAAATATAGTAAAGGTGAAACTGATGCCAATATTCGTAATGGAGATAGTCCCAATGATGTGTGGTATTCCTCTAACCGTGTTTAAAATTGTTATTAACTTTCTGCCATAGCCAGGTAATGTGCAAATAGTTCTTAATGTATCAATGTAAAGGAGAATATTGTTTTTATTTATATATTTCCGGCCTTGAAATTAAGATTGGTCACTGAGTTTTTCAAAGTCTTGAGTTTAACTAACATTTAATTAGCCAAGGATTTTTTTGGCGACGACAGATTTCAGCCCCTAATTAAGACCTCGACAGATATGTTTTATCAGATGTTGAGGTAAATATTAACCTTTAGCAAATGAGTTATCGTTTTATACACTATACAGTGTTTGAGTAAATAACTCATGGTTACAAAAGATATGACAAGAAATAGTACCTAAGGTTTTCGCGAGTATTCATTTAAATGAGTAAGTTTTTAGAATACTACACAGTTTTATTAATTTACTACTACTGCTACAAAATAATACTACATTATACATCGGGATAAGATATTATACAAAAACGCGTAATATTCGAGAAACGAAATTTCATTTATGAGACAAACGAATAGCTAGTCGTAGAGATTAAAACTTGTAAATTGATCTCTTCTTGTAAGTTAAAAAAAAAATTCTAAATAAGAGAGAAACTGATTAAATGCTGACGTTTTAACTACTTTTAAGGAAATCGTTAAATTTGTTCTCATCCCATACTGTATCAAGAAAGCATTTCCTTTTGTCTTTATTCGAAAAAGATCTGTAACGACAACACGGTAGGTCACCAGGACTCTGTTTGTCCATTTAAAAAAGGAGATGAAAAAAACACATAAACTATTCCTGTACACACTCTCAAAAGTATTCCCTAAAAAACTAAGAAGATTGATACTTTACGTCTGTTCTATTATATATTGGTAATGATATGATCAATGATCATTCGAAAGCCTATTCACTTCTCTCTACGGAGTCTAAAGCGGTGATTTGACATTTGGTAGCACTTTGCCCAAACGTGATAACAGAACCTCAAATAAGACTGAACCAGTGTTTCGTAGAGAGAAAGAAGCTGACCCGGAGTAAAGTTTTGCGATAGTTTAACAAGGGCATAGAGTTTGTTTTTCAAAAATAAGGTTAGATAACACCTTAAAACGTAATATGTGGTGGCAACTTCTGTATTTTAAGGACAAATATTATTAATATGAATTCAGGGGAAGGGAACTACTCTAAATAGATGTCATCCCTATCAAAGAGAATCCGAAGTCTGAAATTAGCACCTACAATAGCTTTATTTCTCAACTAATTTTGATTCCGGTTAGCTCGAGATCTGCATTAAAATCATTAAACAATTGTGATTTCACCTGCGTATATAAAACGTCATCCAATTCATTCACCAGCTATGCATTTAGCCGATGTTATGACCAGCAATTAAAAATGCTTTGAAGGTCCTGATGTGATTTAACTACTTAAAATTAACTTTTGAAATTTCGTACCTAGAGGACTATTGAATATGTAGTATATTCCCATATTATAATAATTGTTCTTGATTAACTGTTTCTTTTTCGTTTTGTTTTACATAATATGTAGTTGCTATTACCACTCTACTATGATGTCACTCATATTATTTGCAATCGGAGCAAAAACGTGTATCTAAGTTTAAGGTTATAAGTTTTAAAACGTAAAACGAGTATTATTTCAGTCTGTAGCTTGGAATTCATCGTATTTATATGAATTTTTTACACAAAAGGACATGATTATTATTCTAACAACAATTAATTAATTTCTGACCAATAGGCTTTTCGTGATATTCGTTTCCATAATAAATTCAGTTCATAGCCATTGTTTGGAGACAGAGGTCGGACAGAGGACAGAAGCCCCCCTCGGGTCATACGTGAGAGGGGATGTATGGGATACTATAAATCAAATTTTCTTTGTTATGAATTACAGTTGATGAAAGAATACGTTTTTGCGCCAAGGGAACTCGTGGCTTTTAGATTGTTTTAGAAACTTTTATATTTTGACGTCTTTGTTATTTATCCGGATCTTTTTGCTGTATTTATAAAAAAATATTCTTTCATTGTTTATTTCTGGTTTCACTTGTTTTGAAATCACAACTTCATTATTATTTCACGCTATACGTTTATTCTTTGTATATTAATTACAGCTGTTCCCAAAGAAAAGTGCAACGGAATATGGTCTTGTCTTACAAAGCTGTATTTTATATCACTCAAAACGTACCTAATATCTGTGTGTCCTTATTAAAATAAGACAACATTACACTACTTTCACTTTTTAATAAAATATTTTTTCCATCCTTTTTTTAACATTAATACTCAACTAATTATCCTATTCTAACATGAACAATAAGTACATAAAACACATTATATATTATGTATATTAAGTGGTACTTAGCACTAGGAAAAAAAAACAAATTCTTTTTACGGAGTATGTTTTAAAATATTATGAATGATTAGACTTACAGCGATGAAAAGATATTTCAAACATAAAAAACACAATCGTTTATTATGATACTAGTGTGAAACTGCAAATAATACTTTTATAATGAGGATTCACGCAAATACACATTTTTTGTCTATACATTTAAAGTTTATAATGCCTTAATATATTTTAGAGCAATTTAACATGTCAGTGTTATTACTTTTCGTATGTAACTAGCTACTTAAACATTTAATAAAATGTAAATATTAGTATTAGTTATAAAGTTGTCCTTTTGAGTTATAACTGATATATTTCACTTTGACATATAGAATATATGACAGTTTACTTGTTTTAATACAATCATATTGAAATTTTACTCGTCATAACAATGATTTGGAAACAACATTTTAGAAATACGAGTATGTACCTACTATAAGAGTATGTATTTGAAGGTAAAATATGACAAAGGTAATAAAGAAAATATTTAAGCAAAAGTCTACAAAACTAAGAAATTCATCGTCTAAATAATAAGGATACTCAGTTTTATAATATAACATACTTTTTTTACTCATAGAATTTATCATGTCAAATTTGGTTTCGCTTTATATTATAAATTACCCCACAAAAGATAACCATTGTCGGTTACATGATTTGTACCAGTAATAGCCTTCGCTTTATCACTTGCTAGAAACATCACTAAATCTGCTATTTCTTCTGGTTGTGACAATCTTTTTAAGGCAGTTTTTTCCTTAATATAATTCCAATTATAAGCACCAGGTAAATTATTTAATATGTCTGTTACGACCGGTCCAGGGCATATTGTATTGACTCGAACTCCATAAGGAGCTAATTCTGCTGCAGCACTCATACCAAAGTGATTGAGAGCCGCTTTCGATGCAGCGTATACCGTCATGTTAGCGTTACCACTCTGTGGACAAAATGTGGAGACGCTTGATATATTTATTATATTACCCTTCGTCTTAATTAAATAAGATGTTGCCAGAGAGGTTAATAACATGACCGCACGTAAGTTAATTCTCATGACTTGATCATAACTTTCAATAAGGTTTCCGGATATAAGATTTCCAAAGGCTAATATCCCAGCATTATTAACGAAAATGTCAATTTGTCCAAAATGTTCAATCGTCCGATCTATAATACGTTGTGCATCTTCATCGTTTCCAACGTCAGCTCTCACCACGAGTGGTTTATTACAGCGAGCGGCTACTGAGGCTAGTTTACTCTCATTGCGACCAACCATCACCACACGGGCACCCTCGGAGCTAAAGCCCACAGCTATCGCTGCACCAATTCCTGAACTGGCGCCCGTTACAATTACTACTTTGTCTTTAAAACTCATGTTGACATCCGTCTCACAGTAATGAACGATAAGCACTAAATATTTGACCGAAACAACGTAAACTGATAACCATTTGCACATTACTATATATATATATAAATAGTTGTTCAAGTAAATATATTGAGCAATAACTGTCTTAACATTGTTTATCGATTCTTAGTTTACGGCATCAATTCTAAGTTTCATAATAATACGTAATATGTAATCAGTGTATTATGTCACTGAAGATATGTATTTTATATACGAGTAAATATAATGTAAATTGTTTTTCATTCACAGACGACTAAATCGTTGCTATGAAATTAAATTATAATTTTAAATATTATATAAATTTTGTTACTATACTATTTATAAATAGTTAGATTTGGATTAAGACAAATTTAAGTTGGTGTTATAGTACTATTACTCCAATGGGGATATTACTAAAGACTTTGTTGAGAAAATGTGTTGTTAAAATTTAAACCTCAGAGATCTCTTCATAGAGTTTAAGACTTCCTGGTTTAATTTCAGTTTTTTATTAATTTATACTCTTTTTTGAGTGTTTTTCTATAAAGATACTACATAAGAGCAAATGTTTAGGATGAAAACTAAGGCCGTATCTTAAAAATATACAAAACAACAGTTGAATGTCTCGCGAGGACCATTTCCATACTTTTGTCTCAATATCGAGTTCATTGAATGTAAGGTCGCTGTAAAAAGAAGGGTTCTCTTTTATCTACGCTTCTGTTTTGTTTCAATAACAAATGGATCATTAAGTTGTGTAACTGGTTAACTTTATTAACCCGAATTCAATGTTACTTTGGACATAGAATTTTCTGATTAAAGTTTTATTTGTAATATTTCTTGCCGTATTATGTGAAGCTTTTGTAAATGTTCATTTCTTTATTATTAAATGTACACTCAATGTGTTCTAATGAAATAGCTTTAATGCAATATTTATGTAAGTTTAAGGAGGAATAATAATGAAAACTTGTAAAACAATACATGTCCATAAGAATACGTCATTTGTGTCCCAGTTGAAGTCTTTAATGAATCTCGCGGGAAAACATAAAAACTCGCTGGGAAACTCCTACAAACTAAATGAAGTTATAAATTTTACACTATTTTTCTCTTTTGTAATATACGTAGTGCATGTTACACGTAATTTAAATATTCCATAATAATAATATATTCTTTAAAAAAAATTAAAGCGTTCTTTACATTTGTTTGTGTTTTAGTTTCAGGTGCTTTTCTATAAGATATATTGTGGCAAATAAGTATTTCAATCAGCAATGATGATTATATTAATATTAATTAGATTATGTAAATGTATAAGTACTCTTTCATATATTATAAATAAATTAAGGCCCATTTCAACTTAATGAGATATTTTAATGATGGTTCAAAGGAATATAATGTAAACCTTGACATCTTAATAAATCTTACGACCAATTTCTACAAATAGCTGTTTGACATCTCAATGTCATTCGTTCCTTTAAGTAATTCAATTGTATAAGCCTCAATGCTGTAATATTTTTGAGCAGCGAATGATTTTAATATAATAACTGTCAGAGCTGTCAACACAGAGCCGTCAATATTCACACCAAAAAGTTAATACCTTCAGTTTGTTTGTCGGATTAGCTTTCAATACACAGCTGTAACTAGAGGGACGCGTTCATGTTTTATTTGTAAATGAATCGTATTGACTTTCAAATTTGACAATAAATCCCATGTATGTAAGAGTCATGGACGTATGGTCCAGTGTGCTAGTGTTGCAGTTTCATTTAATATTTATACAATACAATATATTGGAATTTAAAACAAAAACTTTGTATGTGTTAATACCATTCGAATTTTTATTGTCACTGTTAAATAGTTGAATTTTTAAATACAGATTTTAATTACTTATTTAAATTCACTTCCTTACACATAAACATACATATATGAGTCGAAAATAATATAATGTTATGGAAGGATACGATTCAGAAACCTTTTTTATTTATAGGACACATTAAAACATAATAAAATTTATAGTCACAATCCTTCAACCCTACTGTGACTGTGAACAGTACAGAGAGAGCTTAAGACTGCTGCAACATAGAAACACACTTACTGCCCTTACACTTATACACCGTTAAGTGACCCGGCAAGGAAACGATCACGAGTTAAACAACTTAATGACATTCATTTATATTGTAAAAAATAAATTAATAAAATACATTCTCTTAGTTTTAAGAATAATATTCTATTATCAGTATTATTAATAAGTTTAAAGTTCTAAGTCTGCAAAAAAAATATTTAATGTAATCAGATTTATTAATTTATCATTTTACAATAAATTTTTTTCTGAAAATATACTTTTTCAGAAAGTATACATTTAAAATATATTGTCACAATGTGCTATTTAAGTATAGTATGTACCTATATAGTATTATACATTCTTCTTCTTCTTCTTCTTCTACCTGGCAATTTCCCAGCTATAGCCAGGGTCTGCCTTACATGTTGTGAATAGTTTTTGGCTATTTGTTTTTACGACCGGCCCGCCTGCCTGACATCAACCCTCTTTTGGGAATCAACATTAATCAGTGATGTCTAAATACTTTTAGAAAGTACATATGATTCGGAAAAATCACATTGGTACTTGCCCGGGTCAGGATCGAACCCGCGCCCTCGGCGACGAGAGGCGGGCCCTTTAACCACTGCGCCACCACTGACTGATACATTCTCAATATTTAATTAATTACAAAAAGCGAACCCTAAAAAACAAAAATAGCATTTCAAAGTGATCCGATTTATCGTTTTATGTAAAAAATGTTTGAAATCTGAATTGCTGTTAAATATTTAAAAAATTTTTATATGAAAAAGATTGAAAAATTGTGATACGTTTTTGATAAAGTGTTTTTACTTGAATTAAATGAATATAAAAGAATTTGTAACTTGTTAAACTGTTTGCTTTTAATAAGTCCTCGCTCATTAGTATTCTTTTGATTTAATTACAAACAATTTCTTATGTACTCAGATTATACTGTATGTATGATTTTTATAGGAACATAAATCTGTAAACCACAATTGATTTGAGTTTCATTATTTCTGTTTCACACGATCATGTATGTTAGTTAGAACGCTAGAGTTGGGTATTTATAATGATGCATCGGTGAACCTTTAACGTTTGTGAAAACATTACTTATTTAACTTTTGAATTCATAAAGCGCCTTTATATTTCAAGTTAAAATACTTTCCGTAGTTCTATTAGTATACAAAAATGTGAATCTTTTTATACAAATGTTAACTTTCCTTGGAAATTATTATGTGGGCTTACTATAAAGACTATAAAGATTATTATTTTTTAAAAATTAATTAACTATTCGTGACTAAGAACAATGTATTATATACGAAAGTCGATTAAAAAGGTGTTTTTTTTTTTTAGTTTAAGATATCTTTTTGAAAGACAAAGAGAAATCTGTAGATAGCTTTCACTGTCATGAATAATAAAATAGAATTTTCATAAACACTGCAAAATCTTGTTCAGTGTGTAGTTGAATTCTCAATCGAAGGCTTCGTAAAGGAGATGTAAATTCGTTCTGGGACCGACTCGTCTGTTGGGAACGGAGGGTTAAGCGTCGTTTATTTATAGCAGATGAAAAATATACATACATAAAGTAGGGAGAACCATCGAGTTGGAGAGCACATACTACCAAGAGACCAAGTCCTTTAAAAAATGCATATTAAAAGCATTGGAAAATTTTAGGTGTGTCTCTTGTGACAAATTTTCATTTCGTTATGACACGTGGTAAAACATATATTATAATAATAACGTATTTTTATTATTGTTCATAATTTTAATACAATTTGTTTTCCTAATTGCAGATTAATGATTTTTTTTTATAGAGTACGTTTTAAATCTCAAGTAAGTATTTTTTTAAATGATATTATAATTAAGTCGGTTACAAAGGCATTTTTTAAATAATTAGACATGATAACTTTATACTCATATGTTCTATAGTAGTACATATTGTATGCCGTCATACCTGAACACGTTAATACTGTGGAAACATTGGAATTTAAAATTTAAAACAAAAGCTTTGACGTTACAAATCGTCATATCGGAAACATGTAATTTAAAATCCAATTTAAAATTGGGAAAGCTTTGTTTCCGCTCACAAACGGAAAATAGCAAAATTTGCTTTGAACGTTTACAATATTTGTTTATTTAAAAATAATCCGTGGATAATTTATCATAATTTTTAACAATGGGTTTCCTGTATTCATCTTTCAAGCTATGGTCGGTTGGCCGTATAAGTTTTCTAGCTCACAGAGCAAGGGACAACAGTGTTATTTTTACACAAACTATTTCAAGCCACCCACACACACCAATAACCAAGTTCCAACTTGAATGTTAACCTAAATTTAATACTTCCGAACACTTTTGGTCCTTGAGTGACAGACTATGTGGCTTCCTGACGGGATATCGAAAATCAATAACTTTGATTTCAGAATTAATGGAAATTGAAAAACGCTGAGTTAGAAATTGTCAAAGTTATGAAGTAAATCAAGCAAAGTCATAAATAATATACATACGTATAACCGATATACCTAATGTAATTAATTTATGTGTTCAGAATTTACCTTTTAACTTTTATCAACATGCTGGAATTTATATGTACACTAACGGAGCATTACTATCTTATCAGAAGGAGATCTTCACATATGCTTGTCCTTATTAGGAAATTGCACCATTAATACGGTTAGAGAGTTTTTAAAGCTCTAGGTAAATATATTTTTTCACTAATTTAAACGCGATATTTTTTCACTAATTTTAATGCGAAAACGGGTTGTACATATATTCTAAAATAAACATATTGTTATAAAGAAGATCTTTACTGCTTTATCATTAATGAGGAAATTTTCTCTTTATATAATGTATATTGGTTTACATGTCTCTTCTAAAAATATATATATGTTAGCTATTAACAAAAAAATTTAAAGAAAAATATTCACAAAAATAAAAACATTTCTTACTGTGTAAGCATCATATTTAAATTCAGTCCTGAGATAAAAAAAATATGTTAAATTTGAAGTAAAAATTTAGAAAATTCTCAAAG